ACAGGTGCGCACCGTGGGCCTCAATTCTATCCCAACCCCGATGGTCCCGTAAGATCAGTGTAGGTACAGACACACACACACACCCACACACACACACAACAAACACACCACACACACACACCAACACACACAGGGCTGCTCTCGTTCCTGAACAACACGGGTTCTTAAAAAGGACTTGGGATGACAAAGCAGCTCCTTCCAATCCATGTGATTGATCCCTGCTATGTGATAAATATCAGTCGCTAACATCAACCTTAGTGGATGGGGCCGGTTGATGAAAGATCCAAGCAGCAAGGGACGGGAAAAAATGGCTGAAATATGAGCAATCATATCAAAGCCTCAGATGCAGTAATACTACACAGCAGAGTGGAGGCATATATGCGTGTGTAATGAGAATAAAACAACATACCGCCATTTCTAGATCTAATGGCAAGTCAGATCTCAGTAGGCCAACCATGGAAGCCTAATTACCATCACACATTTAATTCTGATTTCATTTAGGTGACAATGATCTATGCATTCACGCAGAGATGCAATAAATGGCAGTGGTCACACACGTAGTCTAGTTTTCAGGCAATGTCTTCCCCTCTATCTCTCAATGTAACACCCTGTGAAGCTGACCGTTGAGCAGCCCGACCAAGCAAGGAGGCAGAGGCAGAACGTCCAAAATACAACCCGGTGTGGGCATTTATTACTCACAAACATATGACACAGCCTCAATCTGCTGTTCACGTGAGCACAGTCACCAGCCACCAGGATCTCACACACACTACCACCCACACAGACAGGGAAACAAAGCCTAAATACCCACACACTAATCAGCAATTAGACACAGGTGAGGGGGGGAGGAGACAACACAGGGCACCAGGTGAACACAATCAGGAGCAACAGACAAAACGGGTTTGGGGAACACCCCCAAACCAAACCACATGTGCAATGTTACAAGGCCCGAAGCCGTCAGTCCACAGTGACGAAGTTACGTTCGTCACACACCCTCTCTGGAATAAAGGGACAAAATAATCATTTAAAAAAAAAAAGTAGATGACTTTTTAACATTATACTCAAAGGGCCAGTAGATATCACCCCGCCAATTGAATAGCCCTGTTATACATTTGATCAAACAGCAAGTTGTGGGATTTGATGTCTAGACCCCAAAGGTGGTGTGGAAAACTGTGAAGGACCAAAAGCTTAGTCAGAGTCCTTACTTTAGTATTGTAACCATATCTAGATGTTGCAAATAAGAACCAACCAGGATTTACATCGTTTTCTTAGCGTGAGTCTTGGGTGATTTCGTCTTTAAGGATGACTGATCATTTTATGAACAGAATGAATTGTGAGGTCGGCCCAGACCCTAGGGGTTTTTAAATCTACTCTTAAAACACGCTTCTTCTCCCTGGCCTTCTAGTCAGAGCGGAGCACGACTCCTGACTTTTCCCTGTGTTTTTTATATATCTGTTGTAATTTATTGTCTTTTATTGTGATTGTAGTATTTATTACATGTCCAGCACTTTGGCCCGACCAAAAATCGCTTTTAAATGTGCTATATAAATAAACTTTGATTTGATGAATGATTTCCAGATTAAGTAATGAACCTATACGGGGCCTAATCTCACTTGTATGGAAACGCATACGTGAACAGAACAGTGCTGTTTGGTTTTCATCTCAATAGGGTCCTTCCTTTAGTAATGTTTCCATATCTAGACGTTAAAATAATAACCAACCTTGATTTATATTGTTTCTTGGCGTGAATCTTCACTGCTTTAGATAGCTTAGTCGGAGCAAATAAAAGCAACACTGATGACTTTATGAATGAATGATGTTCAGCTTAAGTAATGAAACGTTGTAAGGCCTGACTTCACATGTTTGGAAACTCATACGTGAACAGAAAGTGGTGTTTGTGTCTGATTTCCCTGGCTGCATTACATCTCAATATACAATTCAAGTCTTAATCTCAGAGGAGCTACCCGATTAAAAACAGTTGCATGAAAACCAGGATCACATCGGCACGACTGTCATGATCCACAGAGAACATGCATAATGTAAAAGCAATACTCTTATTGTTATTGTGGCGCATCTGACCTGAATATTTTATGAATATTTATATCTTTTGTCAACTTAAATCTAGCTGTAAGCCCTGTAGATTAGTGTGAGGGAAAGGAGAGGGGCAGATAAGAAGCGATTTTCACGTGGATAAAACAGGAATGCGGTGGATAGCGGGACAGAGAGATCACACAGATAGAGGGATGAGCCTGACCTCAGAGGAAAGAGAAACAAGGCCATTATATTGTCCGATCAGGATGAGAGCAGAACAAAATACCATAACTCCCTCTATCTGCTCTCTCTCGTGCCCTGGTGTGCACTAAAAAGAAGGATTTGTCCCTCTTGAGGATTTCCAAACCCTCTTAAATATTATCATCATGTTATTGTTCGGCTAGATTGTATTGCCGTTATCCTACTTATAACGGAGAGCAAGATACATTCCATCGATGTGTGAGATTGGTGAAGCCTTGTCAAACCACAGAGGTACATGTTGTCCCTGGTGTCAACGGGAGATGAATGTTGGAGAGACGATAAGCTGCTGGTTTTGGTTTGTTATTGACACGCAGGCTGACTTTAAACCTCCAGATCTCTTTTGATACAACATGGACGGGGCATGGTTCAGACGTCAACAGACAAGGCTTTAGAATGTACATTAAAACATATCTAAGGATACAGTATACTGCAGTATTTTTATTTTACCCTTAATAAACTAAAGCATTCACATTTCCCAAATTATGAGAGCAACCCTTCCAGATATTTTCCCTCTACATCATGGCCTCGCCCCTTTATGGGTGAAAGTATCTGGTAAATACAAATGAAGTATTCCCCAATCCGATCAAAATGCAAGAAAACTGTGCTTTTTATAAATATGCATGGAGCCCAAACATGATGGTCAGTCAGGCAAACAATTAGACAATGTCATTGGAGATCAATGATCGCGTAGATATATGTTGAAATTAAAAGCAGTATGGGATTGATGTTCTTTCAGTCTAACGGTGGCTAACACCAAAAGTGGGGTTTCCTTGGCTTGTTCGTGTTTTATATTTGAATGAAGCATCTCAATTCATTACCTTGACTTTTACTGTTTACTTTGCAGATTGAAGTTCATCTCTTTAGCGTCATCATTTAGCTGTGATGAAGTGCCCCCCCCCTCAAATAAGAAAATACATGCAAGTTCATGGCTACTGTAGCAGATAACGTTCTTGTTGCTCTGTGTTGCGTTGCTAATGAGTGAGACACACCAGAGTTGAGGATCTGTGAGGTTTATTCTCCCAACAATATCATTTACCATTCAGGCATTTAGCAGACACCTTATTCCAAAGCCACTTACAATGACCAACTACAGGGACATTCTCCCTGGAGTAACTGAGGGCTAAGTGCCTTACTCAAGGGCACACTAGATGTGGTGTTCCAGGCGGGATTTGAACTCGCAACCTTCCGATCATCAGCCCACCTCACTATCCAAAAAATAAATAAAAATGTAAAGACATTTTTTTTCAAATATTTTTTTTTTTACAAATGAATCAATTTATGGGAAACACTGACTATAGTTGAGTAATTTTGCAGAATCAATGTTTCATCCATTAACATCTTCTCTCTCCTGCCGGCAGTATTTGTAAAAGATGTATCCGGAAGATGGATCACCACTGTCCCTGGGTCAATAACTGCGTGGGAGAAAAGAATCAGAGGTTCTTTGTACTTTTCACTGTAAGTACACAGAGAAAACTAAGGATAACAGATGCAGAGTTTATGGATATGTTGATTCCTTTTGTTCACTTATAATAACTGAATACACAAGTCATCAGCCGCCTTGACACCAAGTGTAATTACCTGTCTTTTAACCAGACTAGACGGGGAATTGTTCATTAGTCTCATCCTGTTAAGGTTCACAGTAATGTAGAGCACAGCAGGCCGACATGAAACGCACACTGATAGCCATTCATGACTCAACATCAGCACTTTTGATTTGGCTTTATATGCTGACTGGATTCTTTTAATGAAAGGAATATAAAGCTGTCATGTATGGTTTAGCAGTACGGATGAAATGTTTAGTTTGCTCTCCTTACAGATGAAAAACTCAAGAAACTCAGCACAACACGTTTTAACTGCATGCCAATATATTTTATTAAATGTGAATATAGCTAACTAACATTAACACGGCATCTCTAAACCCAGATTGAGAATAACTTCTGATTTGTTCTCTTCTCTCTGTCACTTGTTCATTATTTCCCTGCCTCTCTTCTGATTCCTGCAGATGTACATATCATTGATTTCTGCCCATGCCCTGGGGCTCAGTGGTATGCACTTCTTCACCTGTATTAAAGTCCAGTGGAACGGTAAGCTGCCTCTTTGTGTCGACGTTGACATGTGTTTTAGTCAGAATGACAAGCGCAGGATGTCACAGAGATGAGTCAGATGAGTCAGATGAGTCATACAAGAGACTGGGGTACTTTAGAGACAGAGACAGAGCAGAGTGGAGGAAAGCTGCTCTGCTGCATGGATCTTTTCCTGCTCCCTTGAGGGTCTCTGTAGGAATTCACCTGAAAATGATGACCGTATTTCTTTCCTTATACTCCAACCTCTGCTGCCCTGTACAAGATGAGACTCTGACTAAGCAAGAACATATTTTCAACTGATTTGAAGTTTGAACCAGGGGGTCCGCGGGGTCTTAAAAAGTATTAAAAGTTGATAAATCAATTTAGCCAAAATGAAGGTTATTAAAAAGTATTAAACAGCATTTTCCAAGGTGTTACATTTTGGTCCAAAGAGGTTGTATTCTACAGTCTGCCTGACTGTAATCATTGCGTAGGTGTGTAGTGTGATTCTGTGTAGTTTATTTATGGCATCCCGTTGGATTTGACGTCATCTGAACAGGACATCGCACGCTCACTGCTTGATAGCGCGCGAAGGTCCGTTTACGCCGGTTGTTAAACAACATCGTTATGGGGAAATGCAAGTTTGCGTCCAAATGGTTGGAAGATAAGGAGGAAGGACAATCAATACTGTATATAGTCAATGTGAGGTAAAGTGTGTCGCCCTCCTTATCTTCCAACCATTTGGACGCAAACTTGCATTTCCCCATAACGANGAGAGAGTGTGTTCACTGGCAGTTAACAAAAGTTGGATTTTTGTCCGAAAGCAGATTCAGATTGTCATTATAACTAACACAAGATGGGTTCACTGTACTGAAATGTAAAAATGAAATTATTTTTGTCTACTGGCATGAGTAACCTAAAGAAACAACAATTCCTGTCCAATGAATAAAAAACGAGACAGAGGATGAACGGACAGGAAAGGCCATTCAGTCTTGAATAAGAATGAGGCTTGTGTTTAGAGTAGCCTGTTCATTCAGTTGAAGAGAGTGAAAGTCTCATTTCCTGGCTGAGATGCTGAGTGATTGAGCTGTTTTACATGCAAATCAAGGAAGCACAGTTCAATTCCTGATGTCCACTGTGCTCCACATCGAGTTTCTCTCCTGTCTGTGCATGTCCTTGACAGTGATTTCTTTGTCTGGGTCCAATAGAAGGGTTTCAAGCATTTCCCCATTGATATCCACTTGTCTGCGTCCAGTGATGATGAAAGATATGTTGCTGATTCAAACACTTATCTTGAATCTTATGTGCGCTGCAAAGAAAAAAAGCTGTTGAAGTTGTGTACTGAGGATGCATGAGTTGAGTTCACCTTGGATATCTCACAAGGAATACAAGACTCACTTGAGGTACATACTGCATGCTAAACCTAAAAAGAGAAACGAAAAAAGAAACAATATTCCAGTTTTTCAGAACACTCGTGCGTACCCAAGGAGTTGGGTACACATCAGAATTAGAGTGCTAATACACACTTTCAGTCATGGTTAGTGATTGACTGTGGTCCCACTGGAGGAGCAGCGTGTCTCCCTGTCACCCACAAAACACAGCCTCCGGGAGCAGAGGTCCATCCTGTCCATGGCTAAGGAACGCAATCAAGAAATCTTGCTTTAGAGAGGGTCTTGGTGTTAGTGAGCTGCATCAGTCTGCTCTCAGACGGAGAACTCAGCCCCCCCGCGGCGGCCGTAAGTTAGCAGCAAGAGGCGCCTCAGACGCAGGCCTGTGAAAGGGTTGCACCACAGCAGGGAGGGCGACCCCCCGAACACGGCTCGCATCCCGTCCCATCTCATGCGGCGCTCCCACGTGGGCTTCTCATTTTTAAGACGTTCAATCTCCTGCAAGACATGCAAACGCCTCTGTGAATAAAAGATTCCTCATTAAGTTTTCTGTTAGAATTCTAACATACACAACCGTATTAGCATTGGGAGAAAACTGAAAGAAAACCGTAGGGTGTACACCAGGAGTGTCCAAACTTTCTTTTACCGAGGGCCACATACAGAAAAATATATACGAAGGGCTGGGCCACTCCCTAGAGGTGAGGTATATTGCCTCTTAAGTTCAGTTATAAGTTGAACAAATCTATCCAATGTAGGTCGATTATTCTTGATACTTGAAAATGCTGTAAGAAAAAAACAGCTCACAGCTCTCCAGAGGGCTGACTTTATTTTGTTAGCAGCTCATTCCTTAAAACAGAAGCTTCAGATTGCTTATCATAAGAGGACATATGAAGGGTATATTTCAAGCTTGTTATATAAATAAGTCATTGGGCTTTTTTCTTATCAACTTAGATTTGCTAGAAAATGTTTCCAACTTTAATTGACTGAATTTATTTGAAAATTGGGCATAATAATACATGAATACTACCGTGTCATATGTTTGAACATATATATTTAAGAAGTACAACATAAGACAAGCAGAAATGTATTATACTTAAGTCATTGTACTTTTGCTGAGGGCCGATTCAAAATGGTCCGCGGGCCGCATTTGGCCCCCGGGCCGTAGTTTGGACACCCCTTGGTATAAATGCTTATTCAATAAAACTGGTAACATAGTTGATGAGACTAAAGGTATTTATCCAGAGCTCTGTTTTAATTTATTTCTAAAACAACTTCATTCGACAGTGACCCTAAAGGGGAAAAGCCTATGAGAGCTGATGAAACTGACCGTCTCGTCGTTGCAGATGGAGTGGAGCTGCGTTCCAAACATCACAGCTGTAAAAGTGAGGAAGAGGATTGCTTCGAGGCAGAGGAAGATCAGCAGGAGCACAGACGCCCCCGGTGAGAAGGCACTGCACTCTGGTCACAGGAGAAGAGGAGGGAGATAAGGGGATTTGGTATTGAAGAACTGAAACTGACTAAATAT